ATTGAAAGTTGAACTGGACTTTGATATTGGAGCTATAGATGACCTTGCGACCAATTTGGAGAAAGTAGTGGAGAAAAAGAGACCGGTGCATGGTCAAGGAAGGGTATGACTTAATGAGCTTTTAAGCACAAGATAGAAACTGTGGAGATTGATTTGTTTTCGGACAGAGTGGTGCAACATTTCATTGGTGCAAAGGAAAATGTTTTTCATCACATTTAAGCACTTTGACTATATAAATCTTGCCTTTAGAATCCATGCATTTATCCTTTGGATGCCTCTATATCCCTACAAACGTGCATGTGTGTTGTGACAATTCAAACTTGTGTGAGTTATACTGTCTAAGGTAAGGATAGACCTGCACAACCAAAGACTTTAATACACTTATAATCTTGAATTTGTTTTAACAAATCTGAAATATGGACAAACCCGATAATACCGACGTGGGCAGCCTATTTGTAAGGTAAGCAGCTGTTTTGGAAATAAAGCCACCACAATTTTAAAGGCATTTAGCTTGGCAATGAAGAGTTAAACCTTTTCTACTAATTTCATATGTTTTCTTCCTGTTCAACCCTTCCTTTTGTTGGTGGTTATAAGGCATGATCCTAAACATCCCATGATCAAGAAAATATGGAACAACTCCTATATTCCCCTCCCCAATCTGTTTGAACACATTTTTGTGGAAGTGTTTAAATAAATTGTTTTTCTGCTAAATTTAAACTGTTTGAAGATATGTTGAGTTGTTCTGAGTTGTTTTTTCAGTGGGAAAATCCAAGTGAATCGGCTTATAGTCATCTAGGAATTTGAATGTAATAACGAAACCTTAAGGTGAGGAATGGAGAAGGTCCCCACAGGCTGAATGAATCAGTTCTAGGGGGTTGAGAGGCTCTTGATTGTTCCTAGGAAAACTGATTGTGTGCAAGGTTTACCCATTGACATGCATGCAGAATCATAAGGTGGGTGAACAATCTTGTTTAGTTTTAAATATGCAGAATTTTGGAAAAACATTTGCATTGGGTGACCTAACTTGTGCCACAACATTCCATTGTTTTTGACAGTAACCAGTGATTGAAATGTGTGTGTATTATTTCACTATAAGCATTTACACAAAGGATACATTTTGCAAGAGACTCTCATCTCATTATGAAACTTAAATTGGTTCACAAAAAATCTGAAATTATAGAGAAGAGGCTGGGTTAGGATCGACTGACTTGTGCAGTGTTCTGGTTTGTGGAGTTGAGACGTGTGCTGTAGTTTTGCGAGCATCCGGCAAAGGGAATTTTGGAGTGCTGCCGTTTGAAGTTGTTAAAGGCCATCCTTAAGTCTTCGTTGAAGAAGAACTACTGGATTGTTTGTCCTTAACAACACAATGGTCAGCAAAGAATTCACTATACCCCATTATCTTTAGTAAATCTAGATACCTTAACAGATTTTTGTGGATGCTAGGGCCACACAAGCTGCTTAAGATAAGAGACTTAGATTGACATGGTACATAAGTGAACCAGTATGAGATATAGGTAGAAGCTCACCATTTTCCAACCTGGGCTGCTCATTTCCAGTGTAATTAAATGACAGTGAGCTTGAGAGAGATCAGCTGTTACATGATCTGTAGCTCCTGAGTCCATGTACCAGGAGACATCTTGACAGTGGATGGCAGCACATAATTGGCACACAGTTTTTGTATAGTTTTGGTGATTGTGTTTGAGTTAAAATGCTTGATTGGAGGAGGATGTGGTATATTTGTGGGGATTCATCATTTGTTTGAATCTGCCCAGATGATCCTGCGGGAAGTGGCTGATTTTGCATTATGAGCGTAGAATTAGTGTAGAATGGTGGACACCAGCTGATATGTTTGGATTATAGGTAGGCTGAGATGTGTTCTGAGGAGTATGGTGAACCTTGTAAACAAGGTGGTCTGGGTAATTAGGAACAAATTCTGTCTGATCAGTGGATTGATATCTCATGTTAACTTGTGTCAAACCTATGATAACAATTGGAGCCAGTTGTCCATTTTTCCACATACTTGGCTAAAATCTGCCTCCTACCAGATCCACGCCCTCTCCCTCTGCCACCAACTGTGTGAGTAAGCTGGTGGTGGAACTGGGTTACACGATTGTTAGTCCGGAACAAAGTGACTAATCCATAGACAACTTGAGGAGTACTTGAATTGTGGGATGCAAAGCCAAAGGTGGCATAGGTGTAAACCGAGACTGTTGACCATTGAAGGCGTGATTTCACTATGAAATTTTTTGTGATTCCACTAGTTTAAGATTGCAAGATTAAACGACCCACCTGGAATTCATGTTTACCATTGAGTTCATCACTAGATTAGCTTTTTCTACCCTCAACTCATACTTTGTAAATTATCTGTGCTTCCTGACAGAAAGTGGATCAGTCTAGTGGTGATGTTTACTACTGCAGCGTCATATTCAAGTTAGGCCATCAGAATGTAGTTTACAATTCTTCATCATACTGTTATACCACTGGAAAGATAAAACTCAGCAAATCCTTTCATTCTCAAAGTAATCATAATACTAGATTTCTTCCTTTTTTTTGTAGTAAGTTCTTGATATTAAGGTTTGATCTAGATTCAGTAGAAACTCTTTTTCTAAAACAATCCACTTTCGGCAGAAATTGACACTTTGACACAACAGAAAACATTGATTCAGATATGGATCCAAGAAGCCAACTTACTAGTGATTTATCTGTCTTTTTTCCACTGACATAATCTGGATTAGGTTTCTTTTCTGTAACTCCATCAGAACTTTCACTTTGATCTTGATAAGGGGGCTGGACACGAAATCAAAACCGGTGAGATGTTCCTCCAGATCATGAGAACCTGCTGCAAATAGACTGTGTTTTCCAGAATCTATAATTATCTCTGGTAAGTTTGGGAGAGATATAGTAGGTGAAGACGCCATGGCTGGAGTACTGAAGAACTTCGGTTTCAGAAGTCAACTTGTGATTCAGGTATTTGATTGAGAGAGAATTGAGAGAGTAATCAACCATTTATGACGTTTGTCTATGCTCTGATACCATGTGAGAGGTACGAAGAAACAGGAAGAACAAGAAAGAGATCTGAAATTCTTCTGTATATTACTCTAAAAAGAAGTACAGTAGCATATATTTATAGTAAAAACACAAGCAAAGAACGTAAACAGAAACGAAATACAAACTATTACAGAGACGTAAACAGAACGAAAAACAACTACAAAGCTGTTACAACTTAACTGACTTAACAACTTTTTTTTAACAAACTTCTTAACACCGATTAACAGCTTTAACAACTTCATTATCAGTTTACTAACAATACATACATTTTTGATAGCTTGGTTGGAAAAGACAGTAATATACTTTTTAGCTCATGTTCTGTCAAGTCATAACATAATATGCATTTTATTATTGTGACTCACATCTATTATTTATCACTTGAACAGGTTGAAAGAATTGTTCGTCCGTGTGCAACCCGTTTTGCTACAACTTTCATTGCAATGAAAGCATTCATGAGCACAAACTGACTTGCAAGCCATGGTGACAGATAGTCATTTGTCGATTCTCGATATGCAAAAGTAATAAAGGCATTTGGGATGATATGGGTAGATATCCAAAGCTGTGAGTCCATTGATGCCCTGTTGGATTGTTACTCAGATGAGAAGCCACATAGATATTTGTTGAATGGCATTACAGAGCAAAATGCAATTAAGAAATGTTTAAGAATAAAAGAAATTCTACAAGCCTTATACACGAATCATTAAGCTACGTTGGATAGGACATTGTGTCGTGAATCCATGCTGCGGCTTATTATTTGAATCCTGCCTTTAATATTACGAAGATCTTTGCCTCAAGCCAGAAGTCAGAGTGGTTTCTTAATCCCTATGACAGTAAACAATGCTTTCAATTTGAGCAAGACAGTTAATGGAAGAGATATTATAATTCAATCGGGAGAAAGCTTTTCTCGCGGGCTTGCTCTTGAAACTACCAAAACCATACGTCCTAGTACGTAATAGTTATAAAATTTTATAAGTTCTTTTGTTTTTTAAGTCTAATTATTATTATGTTTAATTTTCAATTAGATGAATGGTGGAGTCATTTGGGTATAGTACTCCAATTTTGCAAAAGTTTGCAATAAAATTCTTAGTCAAACTTCAGCTCTTCTGTGTGAACGAAATTGGAGGTTTTTGAGCGCATACATACTAAAAAGGGGAATAGATTGGAGCATCAAATTTAAATGATCTTGTTTTCGTTCATTATAACTTGCGTTTGCAAACAGGTAAAACATTGTCAATTACTCATTATGCATCACTCTATTGTTATTATCTATTATTTTCCTTGATATTTTGTTGTCATGCTTTTAATATTTCTTTTATGGTATTTAGGAAGTGTACAGAATAGTTTGGATCCTATTGATTATGAAGTATCGCAAAACTGAAGGTTGGATATTAACGTGAAGAGGAGGAGTCATGTGAACTTAATTATGAAATTTGGAACATGTTATGAGAATGATCTATTCCTACTGGAGTTGCTGATCACCCTTCTTTTTATGATTCAATAGAGGGTTCAGAAGGTTTGGTTTCAATATTTTTCAACTTAGTATCTATTTAAATTAAATTACAAGTTTTAATTTATATTTCTATTTTTACTTAAATTTGCATATATGGTGGTGATGGTTATGATGATGTGATGATGTGAATTTTGATGCTAGTGTGTGAGCTCAATCACATGGAGACGGATCAAGAAAAAACATTTGCATCAAATGTTTTGTTACTATAGTATGTATTTTGACATTTATATATATACAACATCATGTTTGGATTTAACTTTGAATTGTTGTTAAACACTTAAATTATGCTAAGGATTGGTTGTTTTGAAACAAGAATAAAATGGCTTTAGTTATTTGCATTTATCTTGAGATTACACAGCGGTGAACTTGCAATTGGTTGAGTGATAATTGTTGTTATTTCTTGTGTGATAGCCGATAGGTAGATAAAGATTAAAAATAGACAATGGCAACATCTGGCTCTGGGTCTTCTTCACAATCTAGTAGAGGTAGGACTGATATAACATGGGCATATGTTATTGAGGGTGTAGATCCAAATGGAAGAAATACATTAACATGTCTTCACTGTGGGAAAGTAACTAGAGGAGGAGGTATTTTTAGAATGAAACAACATCTAGCCGGAACAAAGGGGGATGTTGGTGCTTGTAAAAAAGTTCCTTTTGATGTTTAATACTCCATGAGATATTCACTAAAAGACATTGGGATAAAGAATAAAGAGAAGTCTGATTCTAGTAAGTATAATACTCCCTATGGTGCTCCCGTACATGTATTTGAGGGAGATATGTTAAATGAAGATAGTGAAGAGTTTCGTCCATCAGGAATTCACATAAATGAAGGTAGGTTTGGCAGTAAAAAACAAAGTAAAATGCTAGACAAATCAAAGAGAAACAAATCTATTGGGTTTGGTGACTATTTTGCTCCAAGGACAATTGGTGGATCTCAACCATCAATTAGGAGTTGTTTAGCTGGAAAAGATGTGACGTGGAGAGCAGACATGGCTTTTGGAAGATTCTTTTATGATGCTTGCATCCCAATTAATGCTGTAAATTCGATTTATCTTCAACCATTGGTGGATGTTATAGCCGCAATTGGGCCTGGGTATAAACACCCAAATTATTATGCTTTGTGTGTCAATTTGATAAGAGATGCTAAGAAGGAAGAGCAGCTTCTTGTTGATAGTTATAGAAAGATTTGGGAAAATGTTAGATGTACCTTAATGGCTGATGGTTTGACTGATAATTCACATAGGTCATTGATCAATTTTATGGTGTATTGTCCTAAGGGAGTTTGTTTTGTGAAATCAGTTGATGCTTCAGATGTTGTGAAGGATGCTGGGACATTGTTGAAGATGTTTGAGGAGGTAGTTTTATGGATTGGACCAAATAGTATTGTCCATTTTGTCTCAGACAATGGATCCAATTATAAAGCTGTTGGAAGAATGTTGTCTGAGAAATATCCGAGTATTACTTGGTCACCCTGTGCAGCACATAGCATAAATTTGGTGTTAAAAGACANCTGTCTTTAATTCAATGTTAAACTTTCAATAATGGCCTTCTTGACTGTAAAATTACCTCACATTGCATGCATAGTATAGTGTTGGAGTTTTCCCTTCACCAAATTGTAAATAGATGCTCAGATCGAGACAGTAAGTGTGCAATACTCAAGTGTTTCCTGCCAGTTTTCTGAGGGTTCAACCTTAAATATACTGTTCTATTGTCCTTTAGAAGGGTTGAATGTGAGTCCAGTCCTTATGCATGCATAAGACTGGGTTCATGATTCTTTTGTGGACTAGGTGTCTATGAAGAATTAAAAGACCTAATAGAGGAAACAAGTCATCGGATGTCAATTAAAATTCCTTTTTCTTTATTTGTATAATGCGATTTTATTTGTATTGTGTTTATTTCTTGATCCATCTACCTTGTTTTACGTATTAACGATTTTTGGTAGTTTTTACAATTTTTTCGCCATTCTTGTTTTTCAACAAGCGATTAAAGACTATATGCGAATTACAGGTAAATTTTCTTGTTTCTTCTTTATTTTCTTTTTTCCCATGTTATTCTTTATTGATGTGATTCTTTTCTAAAATTATTGATCTAATATGAGGTTTTGGTTAACTTTTTGCCAATGCTATAAAGGTAATGTTGAGGTAGTGTGTAGTCGTTCTGTAATTCTCTTAGTCATTTATATTGTTCTACTCTTTATGATTATGTTCATCTATTTTGCTCATATGATGCTTGACTGGTAGCGATGGTGGTTAGAATGAGTTATTATTTGTGTATGTGAGGAACAACCAAGAGGGCTTGTATACCGTAGGAAGAGCTGGGGTAAAAAGCAGAGGAATAATTGCTGACATTTGTGCGTAAAATGTTGAGTTTGTTAGAAAGGACAGATGGCTTGACAGAAGTGGATGTAGGGGAATTCGGTTAGGAGCACAAAAGTTGTCAGGAGAGAATAAAAACAGAGAGGGGGGAGAAAGAGGGATGGGGAAGGCAACAGTAAATTGGAAGGGAGGTGACTAACCCTCGAAGTCAGTATTTTGTGGAGGTGATTGACCCTCGAAGTCAGCCTTTAGTTTACCATTTTCTTAGTGTACTTGTTGTGTTTTCCAGTTGTTTGCGTATTGAGTACTGATTGAACCTGGCTACTGGTTGTAAGGTTCTGTTTGGTTATTAATACAACTGAGTATTTTCTTATTGATTGTGAGTGTTGGTTGTGTGTTGTGGAATTGTTTGTTGGTGTTGTTAGTAGTTTTTTGCAGGTTAGGTTCTATCAATTGGTATCAGAGCCTTGTCATCTGGGTAATGGTCTTGACAAGGATGGATGCAAGAATGAATAATGTTGAGAGAGAGATTACAAAGTTAGGAGTAGAAATGGGTACCATCAGAGAATGTTTAGTTGAGTTGCAGTCTTGGGTGCGACGCAAAGATAAGGAAGAAGCTGGTAGGGCAGAGATGCGATCAGGGGAGAATGTACAATCTCACCAAGAAGAAAACCCAAACGGAGCCAGTGGGTCGGGAATAGTGGCCGCAGCCGCAGTGAAATGGGGGGACGAAAATTGGAGATGTCGATATTTTCCGGTGAAGATCCTTATGGGTGGATCTTTAGAGTAGAGCGTTACTTCAGTCTCAATGGGATATCGGAGGAAGGAAAATTAACGGCGGAGCCATTTGTATGGAAGGTGAAGCTACAAACTGGTTCCAGTAGACTGAATCCAAAAATCCGGCAAGTTCGTGGGCCATTTTTAAGTTAGCACTATTGCAACGTTTTAGTGGATCACAAGAACTTAACCCATATGAATCCTTAATGGCAGTAAAGCAAAATGGTTTAGTCATGGAGTTTCGTCGCCAATTTGAAGCAGTAGCAACGTTGTTGGTGGGGGAGAAAGAAGAAATATTGCAGGCTGCTTTTGTGAATGGGCTGAAGGTGGAGATTAGGGCTGAAGTTAGATTGGCCTAACGAAATTCTTTAACCCAAACAATGGAATTGGCCCAACAAATAGAAGACAGAAATCGGGCTTTAGAAGAAGCCCAAGTGGGAGCCCACAAGACCTCACGCACAGTTGGGTCTGGGCTGTCTTATGGGTCCAACAAACAAGGATCCAAGAGTGCGACCCGGTTTGAACATAACCCGACTAGTCTGACCTGATTTGAACATAACCCAGTTAATCTAAAATTTCCCAATTCAACCGAATCCCTAAAAACCAATTTGACGCCCCATTTCAATCGTCGATCACCAGAATCCTCCATGCAAGGCTCGTCGACCAACCTTTCCACTCGCGATCAGTCGACGACATCTTTCCAGCAGTTTGAACGTTAGAACTTCCAACGGCGAGACTTTCCCTTCCGTCAAATGACAGATGCGGAGATCCAGAGGAAAAGAGAGAAAGGGATTTGCTTTAGGTGCGATGGGAAATATTCGATTGGGCACAAATGTGGGGAGAAACAATTTCAAATCATTTTGATTGATGACGAGGAAGATGATTCAGATCTGATTGGGACTGGAGATACTGTTGAAACATGAACAAAGCTACAGTAGGAAAATGTGGAGCTTTTTCTTAGTTCAGTGGTAGGGATCCAGGGTCCGAAGACAATGAAGCTCAAGGGAAGAATCCAAGGTAAGGAAGTGATTATGTTAATTGATAGTGGGGCTTCCCACAATTTTATTAGTTCAACGGTGGTAGAACGATTGAGAATTCTAGTGGTAGGGACGCAGTCTTTTGGGGTCAGAATAGGCGATGGGTATAGTTTGAGGTGTGAAGGAGAATGTTGGGATGTGTGTATGGAATTACAGGGGGTGACGATTGTGCAAAATTTTTCCCATTTGATATGAGCAGTGCTGACGTAGTTCTTGGTATTGCTTGGCTTGAGACTTTAGGCGAGACCCTTACGGATTGGAGGAAACAAACTATGAGGTTCACGTTGGGAAACCATACAGTTTGTCTGTACGGGGATCCGTTGCTTAGCAAAACCATGGTATCCCTCAAAGCGATCATTAAGGCATTGCAGAATGAAGGACAAGGCTGTTTGATAGAGTTTGGGCAGATACAGACTTGGTGTGAAAAGATTGGGAGTATCGATGAGAGACTACTAGAGGTTTTGGGAAAGTTTAGCAGAGTCTTTGAGCCTCCTCCGAGGTTACCACTTGTCTGGTCAAGAGATCATGCCATTCAGTTAGTTCCAGGTGCACAACCACCAAACCTCAAGCCATACCGGTATCCTTATTATCAGAAAAATGAAATAAAGCGTATTGTCAAGGAAATGTTGACTTCAAGAATTATAAAGCCGAGCATCAGTCTGTTCTCCAGCCCTGTTTTATTGGTGAAAAAGAAGGATGGAGGGTGGCGATTCTGTGTAGACTATCGGGCCGTTAACAAAGTGACAATTCCGGATAAATTTCTGATCCCCGCTATCAACGAATTGTTTGATGAGTTAGAAGGGGCAACGATGTTTTCTAAACTTGATTTGAAATCCGGATATCATCAAATCCGAGTGAAACCAGAAGACACACACAAGACTTCCTTTCGAACACACAAAGGGCACTATGAATTTCTCGTAATGCCTTTCGGTCTTACCAATGCACCGACGTCCTTTCAAGTAGTCATGAATGATGTATTCAGGCCTTACTTAAGAAAATTTTTATTGTTATTCTTTGACGATATACTGATTTACAGTAGGGAGATGGACGAACATGCGAAGCATTTAAGCATTATTTTGCAGGTATTATTGGAGAATCAACTGGTGGTAAATCAGAAGAAATGTCAATTCGGACAGCTACAGTTAGAATATTTGGGACATGTAGTGTCATCTAAGGGTGTGGCCGTGGATCCCTCAAAGATAGACAGCATGACTAAATGGCCAAAACCAAAGGACATCAGGGCACTCAGAGGATTTCTTGGGCTGACAGGATACTATCGTTGCTTTGTGCGCGATTACGGTAAAATAGCTCTTCCACTCACTGCCCTATTGAAGAAGGATTCTTTTGTGTGGAATACAGCAGCTCAACGGGCTTTCGAAGAGTTAAAAAGAATCATGACCAGTGTCCTTGTCCTACGGATGCCAAATTTCGCTCAGGAATTTATTATAGAGATCGATGCTTCGGGCAGCGGGTTAGGGGCTGTATTGATGCAAGAAGGGCGGCCTATCGCATTTCTCAGCAAAGGGTTGTCTCTCAATTCTAAACTAAAATCTGTCTATGAGCGGGAATTAATGGCGGTAGTATTGGTTGTACAAAAGTAGTGCCATTACCTAAATTGACCCGAACAGCCATCCTCTTTTCAGATTGGTGGGATGCCATCTGCTATACCATAACAGGTTAGTGTTACCTAAATCGGGACCTCACATCCAAAAGATACTCTAGGAATTTCATACTTCACCCATTGGGGGCCATTCTGGATTTTTTCGGTCGTATAAGCGGATCTCGAATGTGGTGTTTTGGGAGGGAATGAAGAAAGATGTCAACAAATTTGTAGCTGCTTGCCGCGTGTGTCAACAAAATAAATACGACGCATTAAGTCCAGCATGTTTGCTTCAACCATTACCTATCCCTAATCAGGTGTGGGATGATGTCTCTAGGGATTTCATTATGGGGCTGCCCAAAGCGAATGGGGTTGATACTATTCTGGTCGTGGTCGATCGTTTGACAAAATACAGCCATTTTGCCACCCTTAAACACCCGTACACAGCCAAAGTGGTAGCGGATCTGTTTATCAAAGAAGTAGTCTGGTTGCATGGGTTTACCCGAAGCATTGTTTCAGACCGAGATAGAATTTTCATGAGCAATTTTTGGGCTGAATTATTCAAACAGTCCGGGACACATTTACACGAGTTTAGCCTACCATCCGCAAACGGATGGTCAAACAGAAGTTGTAAACCGCTGCTTAGAGATGTACCTCTGATGCTTTGTTAATAGCACCCACAAAAGTGGCCAAAATGGGTTCCATGGGCAGAATTTTGGTTCAACACCACTTATCATAGCTCCACGGGAATGTTTCCATTTAAGCCTCTCTATGGCCGTGAACCACCAACA